ATTCTCTATTGAAACGTAACCATTTTTTAAATAATTGATCACTGGTGATATAAAAGTGGATTACCTACGATAATAACGTGCGAAAAATATCATGATCAAAAGGTAGTCAAGCTCCACAGACTGTAGCGAAATCCGGATTAACACGCAAAGAGGTGATGTTGTGTGTTTGATTGGATTGGAAGGGCATCGTTTATTATGAGCTTTTACCGCCGCGTAAAATCGGCTAATGAGACTCAAGCAAAAAATTGAGAAAAAACGGTCGGAATTAATCAATAGAAAAGGAGTGGTCTTTCATTATGATAACACCATACCACACACATTTTTGACCAGTCAGCAAAAATTGAGAGAGCATGGTTGGGAAGTGTTAATGCTAAATATTTCCACCTGTTTCGGTCAATACAGAATTCTTTGGGCAGTGTTAGTTGAAGATCAAAAGAGGACTGTCAAAACTACTTGTCGCATTTTTTGATAAAAAAATCCCAAGATTTCTACAGCAACGGAATTATATCACCCCCTAGAAGATGCCAACAAGTTTATCGAACAAAATGACACATATATATTATCAGTGGCGGCGTAAAGGGGGGGGGGGGGGGGGGGATGCGGTGCCAAACACCAAGGGGTGACAAAGACACGGTGTGTCTAAGATTTTATTTTAACCATTTGTGTTTCGGTAGCTTCATGTGAAAGAAGCTTTTCAAAACTCAAGTTAATAGAATCTTACTTAAGGTCTACAATGAGCCAAGCGCGACTAACCAATATTTCCAGTTTATCTATCGAAAATGACAAGAAAGTAAATTTTGATAATGTAATAGAATATTTTACCTTGAATTTTACCACCGTGTAACCCCACCGTCTTCCCGTGGGTGTCGTAATAGGCGATAGAGGGAAACTGAAGCAGATCATGGGCAGCAGCGTTTTCCTTATAACAGGTAAATAACAATAAAAAAAACTACATTTGCGATCCCGCTCGCCAAGTGAGGCAACTATGGCAATATTCTCGCCCATGCCAAAAATTACAAAAAGACGGCCCTCAGTCCCCGGCAGCCCAGCTTTTCCTCGCTACGGTGGCGACAACGGTAACGGCGGGCATTGGGTGCTAAGAATCTCCGGTGGAGGTTCGGTCGCCACCTAAGACAACTCGGTCTGGCAACATATAACGCACTTACCCTGATTACTGACCAGAAGATCCTGGAGCTGGAAGAAGATATACACAAGTTACGCTAGGATATTATAAGTTTCTCTGAGGTCCGAAGAGAGAGGGACACGGTAATCCTCGAATCCGGCAACTTGTTCTATCACCGGAAGGGCGACCATCAGTCCCAAGGAGGTGTCGGATTTATCGTCCACAAGTCTCTCGTTAACAACATTGTAAAGATTAGGAGTGTACCGACGAGGGTTGCGTACCTTATACTCAGAATCAACAAACGGTATTCGCTGAAGGTCATACAGGTATACGCACCAACCTCGGCACGTCCCGATGAGGTGGAGAAAATGTATGAAAATATCTCTAGAGCCATGCGTTCCCCCAAAACCCACTATACGGTGTTAATGGGGAGACTTCAACGCAAAACTAAGCACAAAAGATAACGATGAGCTGAAGGTAGCGAAATTTGGGATAGGGCAACGGAACCCAAGTGGCTTCCGTTGCCCTATCCCAAATTTAGTAATTTTTCCAAATTCAGTAAGCTTGAGAAGGCAACTGGCTGACTTCACGGAGAAAGGAGGGACTCTTTATGATGAACTCTTTCTTTGAGAGGCGGCCTCACAGAAAGTGAACCTGATCAAGCCCCGATGGTTCGAAAAAAAATTAAATTCACTTCATTACGACGACTAGATGGCAACTGTTCAGGGATGACTCAGTGATTGCGAGGGTGAAAACTGGCAGCGATCACCGAATGGTGAGAGGCACACTTAACCTTAACAGTAAGCTTGAGAAGTCATATTTAATGAAGTCAACGCTCCGTCCCCCTCGTGCTCTAATCCAAAATCCCGAAAACATTCAGCTTGAGTTACAAACTCGTTTTCAGTGCCTCGAAGACTGCAATACAGTGGACGATTTGAATGACAAGCTCGTGGAAACTATTCATGCGGTCGGAGCTAAGTTTTGTAAGACCCGTCGGAGAAGAACACAAAAATTCTCCGATCACACTCTTAATTTCATGGCTGTTAGAAGGGAAATGAAGCTGTAGTCTTCAGTAGATTTGACAGCATACAGGCAACTGAACAGACAGATCTCCAAATACATGCGGCGCGACAGGACTTACGCAACTTTAACGCAACTTATCCAACTGCAGAGAGGTGTAAGACAGGGTAACGTTATATCCCCGAAACAGTGCAGTGGAAAAGCTTTTTAAGCTCTTGGACTGAAAATTTTAATTTTAATTTTTTGTTTATGGTCATTGCAAAGCAGACTTTGAGGGGAAACTGTATTCATTTGAATTCAAAGGGAATATGAGATCAAGGGAATTTTTGGTACAAATTCAGTTACCCCATGCGCACATCCAATTATAATTGTGGCTTCCACTACATAGCGATGTAACGTTTTTACTTTTAGTATGGTTCCGGTTGAGGTTTTAAATTTCGCAACAACATAACAGGAGTGCCCACGCGCAGAATAAGCTTATTATGTGAAAGACCCGATGGTTTCAGTGAATTAAGAAATTCGACAGGGTAGTTAATTGCGTCATCTATGTTGACCACAGAGTCTATTGACGTGTTCACCATTTATTCTCCCTCAAAAGACGTTAACAGTATATTGTTAATTGCTGCGCTGCTCGGCCGGTTTTCGGGGTTAGTATGGCACGTTAATCGTGGATATGTGCAATATCTGGGTAAATTTTGGATATTAACTCCTGTAACTTAAATACAACTGTGCACAAATTATTTTGTGCACAGTTGTATTTACTTATTGTTGTTTCCTCATACAAACTTTCAACCCCTTTTTCACCCCCTTAGGCGTTGATTTTCAAAAACCCTAGGACGCGTAATTGTTTATTTGTAATCGTTAACCTAAAAACAAAGTTTCGGGTTTCTAGCTCAAAAATGACGGACTTCCATACAAACTTTCAACCCCTTTTTCCCCCCCTTAGGCGTTGATTTTCAAAAACCCTAGGACGCGTAATTGTTTATTTGTAATCGTTAACCTAAAAACAAAGTTTCAGGTTTCTAGCTCAAAAATGACGGACTTCCATACAAACTTTTTACCCCTTTTTCACCCCCTTAGGGTGCGAATTTTCAAAAATCCTCAGCGGTTGCCTACGTCATTACAACTGTATGTATGCCAAATTTCAGCGAAATCCGTTCACTAGTTTCGGCTGTGCGTTGTTAGATGAGTCAGTCAGGTTTACGAAACTGCAGTGTTAAGCTGCTAATTTTACACTGGTATTCTGTGAGAACGTGGTCCTTCCCCAGCCGGCCGACCCATTCTTGCTACAACTATACTACTAATATAGCTGCAGCATGGCTCTTCCACGTATGCTAGTTCAGATATGTTAAGTTATGACACCAATCGACGACTACCAATGACGATAGACTGGCATTTACTGGGATTTACCGTTATACCAAAGCGCTGTGACCAGTCTGTAGTTACGATTAATAGCTACGATAGCAGTATCAATTTCAGCCAAGGACGCTTCGAAGTATAACTGGAGATCGTCAGCATAAAGGTGGTAAGAATATTGAAGGTGGGTAGTTAGAAGATTGATAAACACCGAAAACAAGATAGGAAAAAGGATGCCGCCTGCGTGCCGCCGCGATACACCTAGAGACAGATCGCACTAGTTGAAAAAATCCTGACCAGACCAAATAGCCTGCTGGTGATCGCGAAGATAAGAGGAAAACCAGTTCTGTACTGACAAGGAGAAATTTAGTCGTGAAAGTAATCCAAGGAGTAAGTCGTGATCGACACAATTGAATGCGTTTGAAAAGTCAAGAACATGACAATGGCAAGAACAGTCAAACATGACTTCTACATGCCCTCTCTGAAGTCTTCTGTAACTTGAAGTAATACTGTGATTGTACTGTATCCCGGGCGGAAGCCAAACTGATATGTACTAAGGAAGTTGCGTTTTGAAATTAAAGTGACTTAATTTTGTACCAATTATTGAAGTGGTTTGGAAAGAAACGGCAGTATAGAAATGTGTCTAAAATGGGAAGGAAGCGATGGATTTGATACTTAGCAATGGGCATGACAAAGGCTTTTAGCCAAACTTTGGGAAAACACCAGTAGAAAGTGAGAAATTGATGATATGAGTGAGGACTGGAGTAATTATATCGAGTATGAGAAGTATCATAGATCTACTCACCTCATCATAGCCGGTTGCGGAAGATTTTATTAAAAGTATGGCTTTTCTATTATCCTCAACAGTCACTGAACTGAAGTTAAAAGAATTACTCGATAACAAAAGCAATTAAGTTCCTGGAGAGTCGTAATTTTGGTGGAATAATGCACACGCGAAGCAGAAGTAAAGTGTATGTTGATGTCATTGAGTAAAATATTTGAGATTAGAGAATTAGAATGTGATTTTTCAAATCCCAGGGAATTAAGGAACTTTCACGTTTGCAGAAGAGGAGTTTAAAATACTATTCTGGATGTAGCGGCATTTGGCAGTTGTTACCACCTGATTACAGCCGTTTCGTACTCGCTTATAGTGTTGAAAGGTAAGACTATTCAGATTCTTTTTAAAAATGTGAAAAGCTCGATCTCTACTTACCATTGCTCTACGCACTACACACATTTTACATGTGGCATATTATACATATTATTTCGCCATCTTTCGGTGGCAATGACATCTCTGGCATTTCCCATAGTTGCTTTTTATAAGGGAACTTTTATAATCGTCATGACACGGCAAGTCAACATAGGTTCAAAAGGTCATTAAAAGACGGTACATATTTATATATGTACCGTTGATTATTCACTCCAACATCCATTATACAATTACAAATAGATTTTAATAAAGTCTTGTTTATGAATAAGTTTTATTTCAATTTATCGCACATTATAAATAAACATCGGGTAAGCTGTATTCAACTGTTACGTCATTATCTATATTTACAACACCACTACTTGATTTATAATCAATTGACATTTCGAATGCATCACGATCATCTGTCAGTTTATCGAAGAAGTAACTTGTATTTATTTTAGACGTGGATGAACATTTTGATATATTTACATTGTAATTGCTCTTTCGTACAGGACTGCTTTTAGGTGTTGAACAATTATTTTTAATGAAGTTCTTTTCGATAACGGATTTCCTTTGTACCTTTTTATTCTCAAAAACTAATTTGACTAAATTACTGTTGACTGTTGCCGTTTTAATAACGGGAGCTCTTGTTACTATCTGTTCAACAATATCTGACAGATCGCTGTCATTAATATCTTCTTTACTTGCATTGAAAAAGCTTGAAGCATCTGCAAGTCCTTTTGTTTCTAATTTATCAACGACATTTTGTTGTCTGCGCAATTCCTCATACTTATTTTTGTTGTCATAAGTCGAATTGCTTTGTATAAGTTTGCTTACATTACACTTTCGTTTTTTACTTACAACATAACTTTCCATTGTATTTTTCTTCTTTGTGTTATTTCTTAACTTTCTTTTTAATTCATTTACACAAACACTAACACGTGCTTTACTACAATTAAGTTCTGTGACGTCTAGGCTTAATCTTCTTAATGTATTGTTTAGTGCCTCCAAAACATCAACTTTATTTTTCTTTCTATTGTATTTCCTTTTTGGTTTATTCGGATCTTGATTCTCTTTATTCTTTTTCTCCCTTGTTTTCTTACTTTTGACTGGTTTTTTTATAGATTCCTCGTACGACTCTACAACGTCTGGATAATATTTTCGCATTAAGTCTTGACGTTCTGTTGATATCCAAACGTTTGTTAAATCTTCGCCATCTGGAATTATTTTTACTTTGTAAATTATGATCGTAAAATAGTTTCAAACAAAACATACAAATGAGACAAAATAATTATTATTATTACAGTAATATACCTTCCAATTGATCATCTGGAATAAGGCCTTCAAATTCTCCACTTATGTCATGCCATATCACTTCATAACTAGGAATGCCTGTAACAAATTAATGAAAAAAATGTATTACCTTTAATCAAAAATTTGAAGCATTCTCTCATATCACCACCACAGTGCAAACAATGATATTAAATAAAAAATGCGTTTTTTTTTAATATATGTAATTTAATTGAGTGCAAATCTACTGCAGGTGCAGGTTTGCTATTGACGAGATCCATGCCCAGCAGTTGACTGTTACACAGACGATGGCACAGAAGATGGAATCTTTATATCACGTTAAAATAACTATTAGAGCTTATCAAAAGTCCACTGCTGAACATTTGGCATTTTTCGTCGTTGTCATACTTGGCAGGCGGATCGACAACCCAAAGTTTTTAATTATTTTGAATTGATATCAGAAAGATGCTGCTGCCCATCTCGTTTCATTTCCTTTTGACGCCTTTTTTGGCTTCTCTTATGCCACCACTACACAACAAAAAAAGAGGATAATATTATACAATCGGATTATTTTATGTCTGTTCTCTATTATTTATTTTTTTCTTGGATATTTTATGTATCATTTTATTTACTGCACCAAAAGTTTACGAGTGTAAGTTCCTGAATAAATGCATGCATGTGTAAAGCTTGAAGAAATATGTGATTATACTACATATTACTAGAATATATATAGTTGAGCGTCACTATTAATGTCTGGTGCATGGCAACACTAGTTACCACTAGCGCCCTCTAGAATCGAGTAGCAGAACTAGAAGAGTCAAGATCCTTTTAGAAATTTCCATGGAAGAACTTTCTAGAACTATCGACACCTAGTCAATCGGGACCAATATGTACTCGAACATTCTAAATGTTTCTAAAGTAGAAGGTTCTGGAAACTATCTGAGGCCCTACATAAGTCCGGTATAGACCGCGACCGAGTCAGTATTGAATAGGCGATACAAGCGAATACTTCGAAGCGATACAACTGCGAACTAAGGTGATCTGTAGTACAATTGTTTTGTTATTAGTGTGGCTATAAGTTGTAATTAAAGTGTCAATTTTGGTAATTCAATCGACAGTTTTTAATTATCTCGAACCCCAAGCTCGTAACAATATATAATAAAATATTGTTAGAATAAAAAGAAATTTTCTTCATTCTCTCAAGCATCTAATGAGAAAGGCTGAAATAAAATCTACCTCTAGGATTCCTTTTCTTCTTAATAGCTTTTGGTCTAATTTTTCTATTAGGGACATCATTCTGTAAGTGCCATTTTGTGAGTATTGGTAAGAACTTTTCCACGCAATACCGCTCGCTCCAATCTAATTTACGCGACATCAACTTCTGTAATAGAAAACAAAGCAAATGTAATAAATATTGATATTTCAAATTTAAAACAAACTCTTTTAATATAGCCTTTACCTAAATTAGAAGATAACATTTTAAACCCATCAAATAATGAGTAAATTTTTATTACATAACTATTTAGTTTCTAACAGATAAGACAAAGAAACGAGGTCGCCGCGATTAGAATTACTAATATAATATCAGAAGCGTATTTCATTAAATATTGTTTGTTAATTTTTTTTCAATTTTAGTCTACCTAAAAACACTAATAAACAATGATACAAAAACTAGCGATCTGCCACGGCTTCGCGTGGGTGACAACAGCACCACCAACCGGGTTCAATTGTGAATCTAAACCATCCCAGTCCCACTTAAACACCCAAAAAACTTCATGAAAATTAGTCCAGTCGATTAGGAGTTTTGTGACGAACACACGTACAAAATAATTATGTATAATAGACTAGCGTCAAGTCTCTGAAGTATCACTCCTTGAACTTTATAGTGCACAAGCAATCCAAATGGGATTCCCGTTTCATTAAATGCGGATTTACCACATGCTTAGCGGAGACAGAAAACATCGTTAGAAAATCTGTATGTCTAAGAAACTAAAAACATTTCAAGGACGCTTGAAGTCCGCCAACACGAAGTGCGAGAATTGCGACATAACCTCGGGCTCTTTCGTGCTCCCAAAAAAACTCTCAGAAACAAGAAACCCTCGTAAAACATATTTCTACAGACACTTTTTTTAAATAGGTGGTCCAAACGGGTGTAAATAAGGATTTATTGCTAGCATATTATCTTATGAAAGCAATATTTAGTTATTAAGCCAAAATCAGTTTAACTTTGGCTTATTGTTCAGCTATATCTCATATTTGTATTTCACGATTTATACAGGCGACAGCAACTTTCAAACGCATAGATGTTATTCTACAAACAATAAATAATTTCTACAAATAAAGGGAAACTGGTGGAAATTTGTCATTTTAAAGCTTATTTTGTTAAGAATATTATCAAACGAAAATTACATAAATTTGAAATGAAAAATTGAAACAAATCCTTTTAGTAGAAAATTCGAATGACCTTTACTTCACATCATGTATTTGGGTAATGGAATTTCAGTAATTTGAAGCATATTTTCTTAAGGTCAAGTATCAAGTAGTGATTCAAATTAAGCACATACCACAAATTCTATTAAACTTGGGACTGGTTTCTTCAATGTGTCTAAATCGATGTAATCATCACTGGCGTTCAAAAACTCATTTATCACTTTCGGCTCTGGGAATGGCCTTCCACAAGATATCGCTCTCGTACGTAGAGACAACTCTCGTTTTACTTCTGCTACTTTCGCCCTGAAACGTGGAACATTTATATCAATGATTTGCCTAAACACCTAAGTTCCTGGATCATAGGTCTAGCTAGTATTACTCTCTGAGTTTGGCAACCAGTCAACACAACAAAGTCCTTTATTATATTTGATTATGTTATACAAATAATAGATATAAACAAATTTAATATAATATTATTCCAAGTTCTCTTTTATTTATTTGTATGTTTTTATTATATAACAATAGGAAAAAAATAGGGGACCCACAATGATTTTTTAAAATTATTATAAGCCAGTGATTGAGCACAATCAAGCTTCTTACACTAGGGCTACATCTGGTGGTAAGTGGTGGTGTATCACATCTGTTGGTAAGTGATGATGTAGCCCTAGATGATCACTCTTGCCTTGAAGATGCCCAGATAGTATTCGACGGAAAGATAGACGCCGGCAAAATATTCCACTACTTTGCTGTAGGCATTACAAAAGACGATGCAAACCGTTTGGTTCTACGAGGGGCACACTGAAATGATCGGGAATAGAATATTTCGGATTGAGTTACAATAAAACCTTTTTTAGAATTTGAATACTGGCCTCTTAGAATCTTAATGACATTCAAACAGTTAAAAAAATGTTTAAAACAAAAACTATGTTTGTTTAAAGTTGACACGTCGTTAACAGAAATGGAGCTCACGCGTGAACATTTCCGTGCCATAATTTATCACAATTTTCGTCGCGGCTTATCTCAAGATAAATGTCTCAGCGAACTTGTTTCCGGTATGCCGAGTTCCGACGCGGTCATGTGTCGCTCAGCACTGTTTCTTTTGCAAGTCGACCAAGAACAGCGGTAACGCCTGAAAACATCGCAGCTGTGCGAACTATTATATTAGATGACCGTCATGTGACATACGAGCAGATTCGGGCTGTTATCAGTATCGGAATGACTGCAATTCAGTCGATATTACATAATGAGTTGTGTGTGAAAAAGCTAGTTTCCCGTTGGGTTCCCCACAATTTGTCGTGGAAGCTTACAAATCAGCCATTTTGTCAACATCAACTTCAGACTGGAATTACTGTTTTAATGATTGGTTTGCACGAATGGAAAAGTGTATTAAGTTGAACGGAGAATACTTCGAAAAACAATAAAATACAATTTAGCTATACCGTGCATGTGGTTTTTCTTATTCCCGATCATCTCAGTGTGCCCCTCGTAATGCATGGAATATCGACAACAATGAGGTGAAGACCCGCCGACCGCCTGGTTGTCCGATGATGGGTAGGAGAAGAAATTAAAGCATGTGATTCCTGCGTTCACTCACCGAAATGCATCCTATAGAATACTGAGAGGCTGGCTACCCTGCGCCTGTGCTCGAGGCTGACAAGATTGGTTACAACCAAATCAAGGTTACCAATGAGCCTCTAAGCACGTCTCTCCACTGAGTTTAACGCTGCTATGTGGCATTTTGCAGCACCAGCCCATACGTGACAGCAGTACCCCATGGACGACCGTACTTGCGCTTAATATAATATAAGAAGCTGCCTTGGCCTTCAGGCCTTCTTAGTACTTCAGGTACTTCAACACCGCCGCACCCATGCAAAGACACCTAGTTTCCTTGCGGCAGCTTTGGCCCTGGAGTGCCCATAGTTGAGATTCGGAGAAAATTCAACCCCTAACAACTAAAGGCGGTCAGTACGCTCCAAGGATACATTCCGGAAAGTAGGAGCTAGGCGATTTAGCGGTAAAAATACACGCTTGTTTTGGAGGCGTTGAAACTCACGAGATTGGCATCGCCCTATTCAGAGACTACCTGCAGTGAGAGATTCGCACGCTCAATCATAGATTCTCTTTCAGACTGGATTTGGTCCCGACTGGTCCGAACATTCGGCTGGTAGCACTTCACAACTGTGCTGTCGTCTGCATACCCATAGATACTGGAAACAAGCAGATCATTAATATGCACCAGGAACAGAATTGCGGAGAGAAAGGACCCCTGAGGAACTCAGGCGTTTGTCACGATAGGACTGGACGAGAAGCCATCGATGACGACTCGGAGAGATTGTTCACTCAGAAAGTTCTTCACCCAGTCAATCAGGCCAGGCGATAAGTCGTACTCTAAAAACTCGCCCAAAAGACTAGCGTGCCAAGCCCTGTTAAAGGCTTTCGAAACATCAAGGGTAACAGCAAGTGCTTCCCCACAGTTCTCGACGGCTTTACCCCATATATTAGTGGCATAGGCCAGAAGGTCCCTAGTTGATCGATTTCGGCGAAACCCGTACTAGCGGTCACTGAGGAGATCATTCTGGTCTAGGTATGCCATGAGATGGGTGTTCAATATAGGGTCCATAATCTGTAATTGAAATTGGCCGATAGTTGATATAGGCTGCACATTGGCTAACTTCAAAGATTTGGATACTTTTCCAGTCCTGAATGAGAGACGGAACAAGCGTGTCAACACAGGAGATAACTCAGGCGCACAGACCTTTAGAAATATAGCTGGTATACCATCAGGCCCGCTAGCTTTGTTCACGTCTAGATTTCGCAAGATTTTAAGAACCTCGTTGTTGGTGATACGAACCTTTGACATAAATATGACAGACATGAATAATAGGCATTCCCCACCGGTAAAACGCATTCACTGTAGCCCATAGATGTATTTACCTATAAACGTTACCTTATATACTTCCCAAAGTTGCTTATCATTTCTGAGTGTTTTAGGGCAAAAAAATGTCGTCCTATTCGTGTTAGCGGACTTCACATGTCTTCGAAATATTGTTTTTTTTTTAGATTTCCTCACGATGTTTTCCTTCACCGCCGAGCAAGTGATAAATCAACACTAAAAATTGTAATTAAAAATTCCATTAGGTCCGGCGGGTTGGGTTGATCGCATACTGCAAAATTTAAACGCTACAATACAGTCCCAGAGCTACCATGGCTCTATTACCACCTAAGAATTAAGATGAAATACTTCATTACCAGAAATTGGGTCTTCGGTTCTCGTCAACAGCACGGCATTTGCCCAAATACTCAAACGCTGCTCAATTTCAAGATGCCGTTAAGTGACGTGTTGTCGTCTATCACTTCAAATCAGTCAAAGTGACTGTGACACCACGGGACTTAACGACATCTTAAAATTGAGTAGAGTTTGAGTATTTGGCCAATTACTCCATAAAACCCCACAAAATTAAGTCGATGTTGAGAAGAACAGAAGAAAGTTAATGTTATCAAGATATACCAGCAAGTATTTTTTTTTTGTTTCCTTCGAAGAATATTGATTACAGAGAACTCACTTATGTCCATTGTCATCGCAATTACGGTGCGTAGCGCAGACGGGACAGCCGTTCTTTGCGTGCGTCCGTCCCACGTGGCCACAACGGTCGCATCTTCCCGGCAAAAACGCCCACCGGCTTTGTTCCTCGTACCGCTTGGTATCGGTTACCCATGACAATAGCCTATTTAACCAGAGACAAAATTGAAAAACTATATAAATATTTTGATTTTTTTAATAAACGATACACGAAAGGTTCTACAGTGGCTGCCTCGTACCAGTAGGCAAAGGGCGACCCCCCAACTAGATGAAGTGACGACCTGGTAGGACATGAAGTCGATGGATGCAGATATGGCTCAGGTTCGTGCTTTGTGGCATTACTTGGGGGAGGCCTATGTTCAGCATTGAACTTGTTAAGGGCTGTAATGATGATGACACACTTAGAAATATTGTTTATACGCTTTCGTCACCGGTCAGGGTATTTTTCATCTGTTACATAAAATATCGTTTCCCCAAATTACCTCTCATGACCTAATGTCTCGTTATTTCGGACCGCTAAGAGCGTTTATTAATAATTGGCGGATATTTAACACTTGTCTCCCGTTGGTGAGTAACATCGTAGGGCTTCGTAGTGAAAACGAAAATTTTGACGAGCACACGCAAGCAAAGGTGCACTCTCAATTCCCGCACTCTCATATTCCGATGGGACGGTAATCCGACATAACCGGAGAGATATCAGGCCGCAGTACCAACAGCTTTACGTATTTTCAGAGGCACATGGATAAAACACCGCCAATTTCCTGTCTCCGGACTGCAACTAAGAATTTAATATGTTTTTTGGCCCGACCCGGGATTCGAACCCGGGGCCTCATGGTCAGCACTCACGTTCAAGACCAGGAGGCGTTCAATAATACGGCATAAATAAGGTGACGTCTAATAAGACAGGCAGAAAACGCTATATAAAAGTTATACATCTGCAATCATACCTGTGTATAATTTGTTCTTCAGGCACCGTATGTAGAAAAGATACGGCATTTTTTATTGAGGAACCACAAGCTCCGACGCCATAGTCGCATCCGCAAAGAAGAGCGAGGGCCACCATTTTCTTGCGACCAAATCCTTACAAATCAATATAATTCATACATTTTAGCTTTAAGATAAATCATGAGTATAGAATTTATCTACTTCGCTACAGCTCATCATAACACCAATGAACAGCCTTTATAAAGATTTAGGATGATTGCTTTGGAAGAATTCTTTGATGCCACAAATCCTTTAGGTTCATTTATTTAAAGTTCATCTATTTATCGTATAAAAAAAATTAGGATTACCTGGATTCCTAAAACATTGCTTTTATCGCACAGCAGGTCTGAATGTATAATGGCAGCGTAAGAGAATCCGTTACCCTATTTTGTACCGTAGGTGTCGGAAGAGGCAACTATGGAAAATGCCAAAAACATCTTATGTCTTCCGAGAAATGGCGGTATAACAATCATGCTGACGCAAGGCGTAAAATAACCTGACCCTCAACGGGCACCAGCCTCAAAGGTGTGATACAGAATACACATACTCCCTACAACAGGAGTACTTATGTCCAGTGATTTTTATTGACTGATGAAGACGAAGTAGTGAACTATTAAAGAATGGCTAGAGCCTAATCATCTTATTAGTTATGGATAGAATATGTTTTGTACCGACTTCAAACTGGAGGAGGTACTCAATTTGACTATATGTTTGTTTTTGTGTGTTACCTCATAACTTTTTTTCTAGGTGAACCGATTTCGAAGATTCTTATTGAATGAACTATTTGAAAGCTGGTGCTTCATATGTGGTCCCATATAAATTTTATCAAGGTGTGAACAAATATTTTTTGATTTATACTAAATAATTTATATTGAAGTCGGTTGTACAAAATTTTAAATTTTAAATTATGGTTTTAAATGCAACCACAGTGTTTCAAGAATATTAAACGGTTGCCGGTCACGTACAAAGCAAACAAGTCTGCATGGATGCTGTCTCACTTCTTAGAAGAAGAAGTACCTATGGATGTGGTATGCAGAGGCAAGTGGAAGGAAAATCTAACTTCTTGTGGATGACTACCCTGCTCTTCAGATATCTCCAATCTTCAAAACATAGAGTTAGCATTATATAATATAGAATATCAAAAGCATTCTTCAACTAATGGATCAGAGCATAATTGTTGATGGAAATTAATGAATCAGATGGTAAATTCTCCATTAACATGCTGGACGCGGTGAACTGCCTGAGCAGAGCCAGGGATGAGGATCCGAATTTGCACATGTAATAAATAATGACATGCACTTAAATAATGCAGGCACACTGCATCCACAAAATCTTCGTCCATCTTGTTTGTCGTTTATCAACCTACTGTGGAAATATGTGTTTGCATAGCATGTCTGGCTGGTTGCGACAATAAGTGTTCAAATAAGTGTTCCAAGTCCTTCAAATAAGTGTTCAAATGTTGTTGCTATATCTGGCATCGGCTTAATACTATATTCATTATTTATATAATAATATTAAGCCTTTTATTTTAGTTTAAGTATTACATATTATAATTAAGGCATCAAAAATGTGCAACAAAAATATTTTGTTTATATTTGATTGTTATTTTCTACCCATTCCCTTTAAAACTCTTGATAACAACATAAATTTTCTGGTCTCTTGAATTCTGCTCTTCTGAAGCTCTGGCGGCCACGAAAATAGGATGAAAACCATTCCGAAGCTGGGATTGAGAATCTAAGATTAGTTAGGAAGGCTATAAGGATATCGTGGTCGACTGTGTTAAAAGCATTTGAAAAATCAACATAGTCAATACATTCAATAATACAATTTATACAAGTAATAAATTATTTTCATTTTTATGCAGTATTTACACATCTTATCCAACATTAGGTAATGGAAAGATAATATAAAACAATAAAACTTACTTACCATTACTTTGAAACATTAAATCAGCATCATAACATTCAATGGAGCCTTGCATTGCACCACCTCCAGCTGAATTCGAAACACTGAAGTTGCGATACACACGGCGAGCCCCATAAGCAAAACAGTCTGAATCTTGGGATACAACTGCATTTACCACCTATTTTACAAATTATACATTTATTAATAACACAATACAACTTTGTTTATGAAGAATAAAACCCTCTTTATTTCAATATTGCAAAATTAATACGGGTTAAAGCATGAAGTTGCCGTTTTAATGGAGTAGTAAGTTAAACTTTGAATTCAAATTAAACCTGCATGTTCCAAGATTTGTTATAAAAACTTTTAATACAAAAACAATAACATTCCAAATTCAAATATTTTATGACATTCATAAACTATAACTTTCAATTGACATTTAGAATTTGAATTTGAGTTGAAAATGGAGACCTTAAAAGTTATTTTGAAATATAAGCCGCGCGGAGAAACTTTGCCGATGACTATCCTTCACGCCTCCGCCGACCGCGTCCCGCGCTCGCCTAGTTAGGCGTCGTCCTAATACAACGCGATTACGCGATCAACGCGCGAGTAAGCGATGCGACCATCGCGTGCTCGCGTGATATCAAAAACTGGGTGCCCTAATAGAACTAGAATACGCGATCATCGCGCGAATTGACGATGCGAGCTGCCGCGGGTTCCGCTTCGCTTCGAAATTTGCGCACGGCATTGCCACTAAGCATGGACGTCAGAAACGCCCAGTTTTTACTTTCTGGAAATATATGGATAACCTATTCTGCTGGTCTTGACAGCAATGAAAAAAACGAAATGGGTCGCAATGTGCTTTGTTGGAAAATAAGACCGATACGTGGTGAATTTCATCATCATTTCAACAATATAGGTCGGGTCCCTACCCTTCACACCGCTGCCCGACGACACGACGCGATTGGCGCGCGAATTTCAATTAGGACACCTATTCCACAGCAATATGTTTAATCGCGCGTTCGTACGAACTAAGTTCGCGCGAAAAGATTTTCAAACAATTAAGTCACGCGAATGTCAATTAGGACACCTATTTGAGATCAGTATGTTTGATCGCGTGTTCGGACGAGTAAAATTCGTGCGAACTTGCGATGATCGCGCATTCACTTTGTATTAGGACGACGCCTTTTGCTAGTGCCGTTAAGCCGCATATTGATTAGGCGCTCCAAGAGGTCAAACATTGGCGCGCGCTCCAGCCGCGCGAATTGGATACCGTCTTGGAACGCGCGCCAAATTGTTCGTTGAAACGCTCAAACGTGGATCGGGCCGCCCATCTAGTGTCGGTTTTTTACCGCGTATCAAAGTAGTTAAGTTCTGGGGCCCGCGCTGGTTGGGACAGTTGTTTTCATCATTCGTGCGTTCGTTGCCTTCCGAGCTATGGATAACCAAAGTTCGAATTCGCGGGGTGCGGGTTCGAATCCCGCACGGAACAAGTATTTGTATGGCCTGCAAATAACTGTTCCGGGTCTGGATGTTTGCCCTTGTGCAATTTATGTTTGTAAACTGCCTCCACGATACAGGAGACAATCCTAGTGCGGGGGTAACGTTTTCTTTTAAAAAATAAAAAAAGTTGCCGTAAATTAATAAAATTATATGGTTCAAAAGAACTGCTATGGAATAGTAAAAGCCGTTTTTATCATAATAACCCGCTCAGAGAAGATGCATGGAGAAAACTATGAAAGCGGCAGCTGCTCGTACACGACCTACATCCATGTTGAACGGTCAAACACTGGAACTAGGCTTGGGCAAAAAATATCAATACGTCGAAATATCGATATTTTCTCAAAAAATATCTATAAAATATATATCGTCGATATTTTTTAATTATCGCGATATACCGATATGTATTTAGAGTATCGAATTCGTATTAATTTCGATGTATTTTAAAATGTATTAATGGACAAAACATGAAACTACAAAAGGAGCTACAAAAGCATTCATGCGTGGTTGTCACACTAGACGCGAAGCTTCAATGGAGCCCCCATATATCAAAACTAGCCATCAGACTTAGTTCTGCAGCATATGCTGTAAAAAAGATTAGAAGTCTAACCAGCGTTGAAACAGCTAGACTAGTTTACTTCAGCTACTTCCATAGCATAATGTCGTATGGTATTTTGCTATGGGGACACGCAGCTGACACTGAAATTATATTTGTTTTGCAGAAGAGGGCCATAAGAGCAATTTATGATTTAAAGCCTAGAGTCGCTGCGACAAAAATTTAAGGAAATTAATATATTAACTTTGGGCTCTCAATACATTTATGAAAATGTAATGTACGTACACAAAAATAAAAGTAATTTTATAAAAATAAGTGATATTCATTCTGTAAATACTAGGAACAGACAGAAGCTAGTAGTACCAGTTACTCGACTCCATAGAGTCAGTAATTCATTCTTGGGGCGATGTATACGCTTTTATAACAAAATTCCAGAAAATATACAAAGTTTGGCCTGTTCAAAGTTCAAAAACTTTATTATACTAAGTTTGTATAAAAAGGGTTATTATAATATTAAGGAATTTATGGATGATAATAACCCCTGGAAATGAGATGATCGCTACCAAGCTATTCTAATTTGTTGTTGTTAATTTGTGTAACATCATGATTGTAAGCTGTTATTTAAAAAAAAAGTCCCGCTGGGTTTCTTGCTGGTTCTTCCCAGGACAGAGGTTTTTTCCGAACCAGTGGTAATCAAACAAAAGAGTGACTTTCAATAAGTATTATTTATAATCTATATTGAATAAAAAAGTCGTTTTTTTTTTTCGTCTCCAACCGTGAGTAATATAAAATTTTGGGCCTTATCTTTACATCACTTTAACAGTGGTAGAGCCACGCGGCAGCTTTTGCTGTCGCACAGATGGGCCGGCTCGAACCGGGGTGGTACCACGACCTCACAGAAAACCAGCGTGAAGTAGAGGTTTACCTCTGCGTTTCGCTTGGTGAGTGCAGGTGGCCGGAGGCCCTTTTTACTGGAAATGGGGCATTCCATCTTAGTCCTCACGGGTGACAACGCATCTACATTTTGATAGATGTAGATGTCTATGGGCCGCAGCAACCACTTACCATCAGGTGGACTGTGTGCTCGTTTGTCAACCTTATCATATAAAAAAAAACCACACAAATGATGACGATATATCGATATTTAACCCGCGATATATATTGATACTGTTTACAAATATCGATATATTTTTTCCCTTGACCATCCCTAACTGGAACAGCTACCGAGAGCGCCAGGCGCGCTTAGTTGATATACTTCGAACATTTCGGTCGGTGTGGTCATATATGGCGCCAGAGTCGCGTAATCGATACGCGGCTTTAGCAACGCTGCCACGTGTGCAACGTACTTAAATTTATTGTTCTCGCTCTGAAATTATTCATCGTTTTCTTATTAAGTTTTTGTTTTTATGTTAGTGTTTTTTTTTAACAAAATGAGTCTAGTTTACCTAGATCAATCCTTGGCCTATCGTGGTGGAGAACGTGTTATTATTTAAAGGTTCTAACGTTTTTCGAGAAGGAGAAACAAGAAGGTTCGACTATAATTCCCTTTGAATGTGCGTTAGATCGCGCTAGTGAGGCCACAGGGGTGAGTATTCGAACCCTACGAAACATAAAGAATAAAGCCAAGAAGCTTAGGAGCACTATACCTACACCTGGCACATCGGCTAATACACAAGAAGTGAAACTTAGAACACCTAAGAAAAAGAAGCCAAGTGAAAAGATGCTAGACATTGACGATTTTACATTTGTGCTATTAGAAATATTGCAGTTTTTATAACGTAAAAATGAAATACCAACTATTAGAAAGATATTAGCAGTTGCGTTAACCGAATTGAACTTTCCTGGTCAAAAAACATCATTGAGTATAATACTAAAAAAAAAGCTAGGGTTGTAGATTCCGAAAATGTAAAAATATTAGAAATTTTCTTGTACAAAAACCGGATATAGCGGCTTGAAGAGCAAGATATTTACGACGGTTAAAGGAAAATGACGAACTTGGTGCTGATAAGAAACCTCTCACATACGTTGATGAAACCTTGATTACCAAATGCTGGCAAAATCCTCTAGACGCTAGTGAAAAAAATAATTTTAATCCGGGTCAGAGGTGGATTATAGTTCACGCTGGTGGGTGAGAATGGCTTCATAAAAACGCAGAACTAATTTACAAATGTAAGAGTTCCACGAGTGACTATCCTGCTGAAATGAATAATGATAATTTTTTGAAATGGTTAAACGAAAAGCTCCAACCAACCATCAAATGACATAGTGGTTACTGATAATGCTGTCGTGTGCGCACGCGCTTGGCGTACGGCTGTTTTTTCGTAGATTCACCTAAGACAAATACGTAATTGTGCATAAATATCTAAAAGATTGTGTTTTGCCAATATCGCATAAGAATTAATTATGGTGAAGTGTAAGAAATGCAATAAGGCTGTGTCGGCGGCGAAAGATGAGACTTGTAAATGCAAAGGTTCATGTGAAGCAGTTTTCCATAAAAAGTGCGTCACTACCTTCAAAAATGAAAAATGTGAAGATTGTGTTTCCCTACCCGGATCGCATCCTAGTTCGCCTAGTGTTGATGAACCGGATATTGCAGTGATCCTGGCTGATATGAACAGAAAAATGGAGGTGGTGTACAAAATGGAGAAGAAGCTGAGTGAGCTGGCCGATCTGGTTGATTTTGTATCAGAAAAGTATGATAATCTGATGGAGTACCAGAAATTGACCGAAACAAAAATAAAATCCCTAGAAAATATGAATGCATACTTGGTGAAGTGCAATAAAGCACTGTAAGAACGTGTGAACGAGCTGGAAAAGAAAGGAAAGGAAAAAAAGGTGGAGTTGTTTGGACTGGAAAAGAAAGAAAATGAAAATGCTAACAAGCTCCAGATGGATGTTAGTCAGATTGAGCACGCAGAGGGTAGGCCGTTAAAAACCAAACGCCGACAAACCACTGCCAGTAGTTGTAACGCTGAGAACAAAAGAGGCTCGTGATAAGTGGATTGAAAGTCGCAAAAAACGCTTGACAAATGGTGAAATTTATGGTACAAATAACGACAACCGTATTTATATAAATGAGAATCTCACTAGATATAAAAGTAACCTTCTATGGGTTACTAAAA